TCCCTGGGGTCTGAAGGCTGCTGGAACCCAGGCGCCACTTCTGCCACGTCAGAGCAGTAATTGCTAATCAGACATAACGCTAGACCTGTGAAAAGAGCACGGAATAAACGAAGAAAAAGGGATGTCATCCTCCTAAAGCCAGTTTTGACCTTGTGAAGGAAGAGTAAACGATGGTTTCGCGGTCAGCTTGAGCCTCGGGAGACAAAATCTCGGTTTCCAAATGTGTTACAAACCTCCAAGCGTCACAGGCAAGCTGCCTTCTGCAACACGCACGGGCCACGGTGCATTTAGGTGCCCCACTCCCACCGTCTGGCCTTACAACACGGTGTCACGCCTTCACGCCCTTCCGAAGCCGCGATTCACAGCCCCACCAATAAAACAGGGGCCAAAAATAATCTGGGTGTCGGAAAGCAAAAGGCGTAAAGGGCAGCAAGGCGTTCAGTGCTGTATTACCACGTGGGGCTGTCCACCTCACCCAGCTATTCCTTTCACTGCAAACGTCCACGGGAAATGCCGTGTTCCGTACATCCATTAACGGATTCAGCACAACTGAAAGAGCAGGAGACGAGGGCAAGGATAAAAGAGAGGGAAGACAGAGTGTACTTTTCCCTAAAAAAAGGGCAGGGTTAAATGGAGGAGTCCAGCGCTGTGCAGTTTACACACATCAGTTCTGAGCTCCTTTTGGCAGATATAATTGGTCTCCTGCCTACAAAAGCCTTCTACGAGGGGATACCTCAGGCATCTCAGAAGCAGGCAGATTTGACAAAACCCTTACGCTTGAAACTCTTCCGCCTAAGCGAACGGCGAAGATAAAGCAACGGGCAGGGATAAGCAGAGTTCACTTCGGGCCACGGGATCCGGCTTGTAATTCAAGGTTATCCAACGCTGTCCCAGCTTACAGTCCCTGAGGACAAGCAGCGAGCGGGGTGGGTTTTGTTGTTGTTTTCACCATGTGCAGAGCTCCCTCCTTCAGAGGCATGGCTCTCGCCAGGCCGCGGAGCAGGGGCGCAGAAGGCTGCACGACACGCTTTTTCTTTCCAGCTGATGCCTCAACACTAAAACTTCAAGCCCAAACTAAAAGCAGTATCTAGTAGCTATGTGGAGGCAATAACGATATTACCTCCTGCCCAGAGGCAGGCAGCAATCAACAGCTGGGATAAAACAGTTACAGCCTCACCATACGTCTAATTAAATCAGCGGCAAATACCCAGTAACTCCAATAGGAGAATCAAAACCATAAGCGTACACAGACAATTTTTATTTATTCAATAAACACTGAATGACTTTAACTAGATATTTATGTCCTGAGCTGCTGGATCCTTGTCTCTAGCCCAGTACCTCCAAGTCCTCTTCATCACGCTGCTTCCCCCTCGGTATAAGGAAGCAGCAGAATCCTTTTGTAATGCCAGCAAAGCACTGTCTGAAGCAGACGTGGGGGTCTCCAGCCCACCCTCCCGCTCGGAGCAGGACTGCTGCCAGCGCAGGCTCTGGGGAGCCACGGCGCGGTCTGGCCACATCCTGAAAACCTCCAAGGACTGAGGTCCCACCACCTCTTTGGTGCTCTGAGGCTGCACGACCCCACTAGCGAGGGCAGTACTTTGAAAGTTTTCTGTCCAAGTACACGAAAGCCAAAGCGTCGCTGTATTATGCCTCTAATTAAACAAGAAAAGGGGACTCACACAAAGAATAATAAATCACTTTTGGAACTGTTATAGAAGTTGATATTCTTCTAGAGCTCATAAAATCCTGAGAGAGAAGAGCAAGCTGTAATAAACTGGAGTACTTTTTCTTTCAACTTCCATGGAAGTTATTTAAAAATATTCTCACCGGTCACATGCTGTTTTCATTAATTTTGCCCAATTAGATTTTGGCCACAAGACCACATTTTAAAACCTGACCTTCCACTTCAGTTGCGCTGTTATTGACTTACTTTGGAAAAAAGCCCAACCTATTAAGGATAACATTAAGTCTCAATTCCTCTGTCTTAACTTATTTCTCTTCAGTTTTGACTATGTTTATTTTGATTTATGACACTGTCCAAAAATACCTAAGCTAGACTCCCGAGGCCCTTCCAGCAAATTAAAGCAATAATCACACACATACACAAAAGCAAATGACTGTGTAAGGAGACCAATGATCACCTACAATGCCTCTTCCTTGGAAATACCCTTGATTCGTCTCAGGTCTGTGCAACCCCAGAGCTACAGGTGGAGGTGGGCATGTGGCCATGGGGACATTTTATTCACACCCAGGAGGCAGAATTGATCTGGAAGCCAGTGCCAAAGGTGAGGGCTGCTTGTATCTATGGCTTTAATGGAACTCTGCTCATGTGCTGAAGGAGAGAAGCACGCTGCGCTCGGCAGACCGCAGCAGCATTAAATCAGTAAAAGCTTTATGGTCCATGACCAACACTTTGTGCTCCACCCAGAAACCGAACCGGAAAGCAGCGTGATTCCCGGCTCCCGCCCCCCCCCAGCCACTCACACCTATTAATCAAGAAGTCAGCAGCAGGTCAAGTTCCCCACCGGATTTAAAGAGTAACCTTGCATTTGAGGCCGTGCCACTTCACAGGTGAAAAAGCCACTTGGCCAAGTGACCATGGGATCCTCCCCACACCCCGAAAAATATCCCCCCCCCGTGTTCCTGAGCTGTTCAAAGAGTTATCCCAGCATGCAGCACCTCCAGCATACATAGCACTGAACTTAAAACTGCTTTTATATTGTACAATATTTTAGGTGCAGTTTGTATGAGAGTTTCTGCAAATCAAAATAATACAGAAAAATAAATGCAGCTGACATGCATTTGTCTCCGTCCCAGGCAGCGGCTCGCAGTAAGGCTGCTGCAAGAATAGCTTGGTCTTCCCACTCCTCCGAGCAGTGGCTCAGCCCGAAATCATTTTGCTAGCACACGTTATCCTCACCAGAAATCACGATTTACTGAAATATGTCAGGATACACCCATCGAAAACATGTCTCTGCACAGCTTCCGCCAGGTTTAATGGTGAAATCACGCCGGCTTTGTGATCCTGCCACTCACTCGTGAAAGCACCCACAACACAGCTGCTACCGAGAGCCCGGCCACGTTTCCAGTATCAATAAACCCCGCTGCAACCCCAGCCACCGATAACTCCGCTGCAGAGCAAAAGCGATAGAAAACGGTTTTGCCTGGAAGCGATTTTTCTCGGAAGCGGGAATAAACTGGGCCAGATCATTAAATCTGCATAAAGGGAAACTGGATAACTGTGGGGTTTTTTTAATCCTTATTTCAGGTACGTCGAGCTCTCGCATTTTTTGGTCCTTCGAGACAGAAACCGCGCCGCTTTCTCCCTATTTTCCAGCACACGCAAGCTGGACGGTTTTGGCCGCGCAATCGCTACCTGCCCGGCTACCACCGCTGTCACCCGCATCGGGACGGCTGTAATTAGGGAGTAATTAGGGAGTAATTCCATAATGACCCTCACGATCTCCACGCCGGGGTTGGTGCTGCAGCCCCCGAGCCCCTCTGCCGCGCTCGG